AAGATACTCTTATTGTTTCTGCCAAGTTTTCTCCCCTTTCTTCATCTATGTTTTGAAGCATGAGATAGAGATCCAGTTCGTCTACTTCTCCTTTCAGTATTCCATACATATCATTTTCTCCACTCTCGGTTTGCTGTCAGTATCAACAATTTTCTTGTCACTTTGTTCATATTTTTCTGCATTTTTTTGAACTCTATCTTCAAGTTTCATCATTGTTTCATCGATATCCTCAACTAATTCTTTCTGTTCTTTGTCTATAATCCCCAGATTCTTTTCAATTCTTTCTCTGCTTATTAGGACTTTTTGAATTTCTAGCATGATTCCTCTTCTTCTTCATATTGCACCATTTTTCCAGGTTGTAAACACTGCCACTAGGACATCCAAGACTTTTTGCTAGGTTTCAAATAAATTCAGTGTAATCTTTCAAGTCAGGGCTTTCTCTTTACTTCAAAAGAGCACCTGTATAAAGAAGATGTGATTTTCTCTTCGGTAAGCAAAGCCAATGGCCTTGAAATAGCAGGTGTAACCAAGCCTCCAGCCTCTAGATGGCAGTGCTACTTCTTTTTCCTCTGTTTTTAGCTCTCTCTTTAAGCTCCGAGTTTGAGAAAAGGAAAAAATGTTTAAAATGCTTAGCAATTCCGATCCAGCTGAGCCTTCAGTAGGAAGAGATTCTTAGTCCACAAATACAAATAACGGAGAAAAATAGAGGAAGAAGGAAAAAAAAGACCAGTCCAATTTAAAAGTAGGAGGCATTTGTAAAAATTCCTCCATAAAAAAGAAATGAAATTAAAGAAAAAAGGAGAACACAATAGTTATAATTCAGGCTAATCCGCTGCTTACTCTCTTCTATCTTCAATTTTAACTTTACTCTAGATCTTTTGGGTGTTCTCTTCTCTAATAGTAAAATTTATCTCACCAATTTCGACATAACTCTCTCTCCTGCTCAGCTTCCATTCAGGGATATAGCTTAAAATGGCTGCTTCTCTTGTAGCTGGCAAAAAGAGCTTTCTCCTGGATCAATCAGAGACTTTGCGATGTCCCTGAGATCAGCAGGACATGCTCTTCTCTATCACCGTCTCTACGGGACGGTTTAGGTCCAAAACGACCATCCAGCAACAGAGATATCAACAGCAATCCTGGAGCTCCAAGATTGCATGTTGTGTTGTAGCAACATAACTATTTAATTTTCTTTAGTTGTATGCCAGTCAGAAATCTCATCTGAAGTTTATTCATCAGATACAGTGTATAGATACTACCCTGGATATCATTAAAATTTGTCAATTTTTTCTCCAGACAACAAATCAGAGGAATTTTAACATTCAGGTATGCTCAAAACTCTACATGGTGCAAAAATATAGTGCAGCCAGGGGAGCTACAATATCACTACAGTCTCTTCCATTTCATTCTATTTAGGCTTAGTTTCTGCTGATTTTCATCTTCTGTCACTTCTGGTATGATGAGGCAACATATGAATTATTGAAGACAGCCTTTTCTATTTCCTTGCCCAATCCAACTGCTTATCCGAAAGGCTGAGGAAGGTGTTTGTTGACTCTTTTTCACCAAAGAACAAGCAGCCTCTACTATCAAGGGATTTTTGTAATCTCAATGGCCCTGACCTTTTCTTCATTTTTCTTTTTGTACTGAGATGTATAATTCTCCTTGATGTAGATTATAAAACTATGAAATTATATGAGCAAGAAAAGGGGATATTGTATTTTCATCCCTCTACCATCATTAGTGTCTCATGTTATCTATCTCAATCTATATCACATTGCTCAATTTGTATCTGGGTGTTTTATCCTTGGGGTGGACAAACTTCTGCCTTAGTGTATTCTTGGGTTTGAAGTTTGCACCTATGTTCTATTGATTGAAGATCCTCTTGAGGTTTTCTGATATTCCTGCAACATATGAAGGAGAATAATAAACAAAGCAAAGAGCCAAGGTGGCGCAGTGGTTAAATGCAGCACTGCAGGCTACTGCTAGATCAGCAGGTCAGCGGTTCAAATTGAGCAATGT